AGAATCAATTTGCAGTGCCTACATGTTCACCTGCCACAAAGTAGTTCTCACAGCTGCCACCAGCAGGGCTACTTGTCATCCTCTCTCATGCTGATGCCACTATGATAGAGGCTTGTTGAATCTGTGATAATGTTACAGGGTTAAGTATCCTTCAGCCATCAGTCTACTATTCCCCTACAATGACTGCCATGCAAGAAATAAAGTGAAAATATGTTGTTCAGACTACGTATTTTGTTTCTGCAAGATTTCTTCTCATCTGTTCAGTAGATTAATTTAACCAGCAGACCCCATTCCCCCACATATGCTAGATATTGCTGAGTTCATGGTTATTCATATATGCTATACAAGGTTCTACATTTTTAGACAACCTTTTCAAAGTAGAACCAGAGGCCTATTCTTTCAAAAACAAAAGATTTGCTTTGGGTTTCGTTTTTACAAATTTCTGTGGCTGGCATCATTAACATTGCAAATAATATGGCAGTAAAGTTTTAAAGTTACTTAGGACACCCATTAATACACTGTACCCAAACCACTTCAGTTACACACTGGACTGACTTCCATCCTGCAGCAAATATCCTCTTTTGTGCGGGGCTTCCATAATAGGCAGAATAAAAGTAAAGCCACTAAACCACCAGGCAACAAAACAAGGGAACAAGCATATGCGTGGGTGCTCTGCTTGTGAGAAGATTCTCTGTGTCTGGTTTCAGTATGTATCACAATTGGACTTATACCTAAATCCTGACAGTATCCTCTTAAGTACAGGACAGTCAAACTCTCACCTGGCACATGGATGGAATTAAAAGTGGTAGTTTTACATTCTAACTGCATCATGCTAGAAAAACGTATATCACCAATTTCCTACTAGATTCCAAAATGATTCTTATTCTTTAATTGATAATATTTTCATTAATACATACAAGTTTACTAATTTTACTGTATGTCCCATCATAAATGGTCTTTCTGATCATGATGCCCAGAACCTAATAATACACGATATATTCAAACAAAAACCTAAAGATAGCTACTACTATATACGGGAAATAAACGATGTTTCAATTACTAATTTTAATAACAAATTAAGTTATGAGTTATGGGAAGACGTAATTAATGAAAAAGATATAAATACTGCCTTTAACTTTTTCCTGAATGTATACTTAACAATATTTCACTCTAGTTTTCCCTTAAAAAAAGTTCATACCCGCTCTGCCAGTAAATCCTGGCTAACGCCTGGAATCAGGATTTCATGTATAAACAAAAAAAA